ATTTAAATGAAAAAAATTAGATTTATTATGCGTATTATTGTTTTGGCTGCATGTATGTAAGTATACCATGTACATGCCTGGTGCTAGCAGAAGCATAAGAGGATGTCAGGGCTTCTGGGACTGGAGTTACAGATGGCTATGAGCCACCATATGGATGCTGCAAATCAAACTGGTTCTTCTGTAAGAAACACAAATGCTTTTAACTGCTGAGCTAACTTTGCAGCTCTAGATTTCAAATTAAAACTATAGCATCAATCATGTAACATCAAGAAAAAAGGAGAAAGCAGAGAAATTTGATTCTGAGGCTGAACTTGGATATATAGAAAAATATGGGAGAGAGGGAGAGTTTGAAAGATTGATATTTAATACAATTCCAAATAAATCCTAAAAATTAATTTTATCAATATTCAAAATTTAGTTATAAATGTTACATGGACAGACAAAAGATGAGAATAATTAAAATAATAATATACTGTAATACTATAACATAATATCAATTCTATAAGTTTATAAAACAAATTTTTAGAATTGTTACTAACATTTTCAGGACTTACCATATAGCTACAGTCATTTAGACTGTGTGTTTTGAGGGGCAGACCGGACATTAAGGAAATTGAACAGAAAATCTAGAAGTAAACTCATACGAATACTGACACTAATCTCTCAGAAAGAAGCAAAGGAAATTGAAGAAATTAAGTATAGTCTTTTTAACACATGGCTGGAAGACTAGGACATTCAGAAGCAAAGAAACAACTTAGATAAAGAACTTACAAATTCATAAAATTTAGTCAAATGGGCCATTAATATAGATGTGAAGTGCCACAGTTAGATCTTTTTTTTAATTTTTAATTTTTTATTTATTTATTTTTTTTTGAGACAGTGTTTCTCTGTGTAGCTTTGTGCCGTTCCTGGAACTTACTTGGTAGCCCAGGCTGGCCTCGAACTCACAGAGATTCACCTGCCTCTGCCTTCCAAGTGCTGGGATTAAAGGCGTGCAACACCACTGCCCAGGTATATCTTTTCAAAGATAACTCTAGACACGTTTTAGTTTGGCAATAAGGTAACAGATGGACAGCTAACAACAGGTCTATGAGCAAGATACTTAATTTCATTGAAATTAAGTTTCTGTTTCATGACATTGTTAACTGAATTACTAGACAAGTCATAGACTGGGAAAAATTTTGCAATACACATATCTGATAATAGACTCATATCTCAAACATACAAAGAATTCTTTGAAAAGTTTAAAAAATATTTTTAATTACTGGAGCATCTGTGTGCCTCTGCATGTGTATGAACATACATGTATGTCTAGGTTTCCAGAGAGGATAGAAGAGGTCATTAGATTCCCTGGTGCTTGAGTTACAGACAGTAGTGAGACAACTGACATGGGTACTGAGATCTGAACTTTGGTCCTCACCAATAGACAGGTCATCCAGACAAAATTAAACAGAGAAATGCTGGAGATGAATATCATAAATCAAATGAACCCAAAAGACATATACAGAGTAATTCACCCCCACACAAAGAATATACTTTCTTCTCAGCAACTCATGGAACTTTCTCCACAATTGACCACGTACTTGGATACAAAGAAAGTCTCAACAGATATAATAAAAGTGAAATAACACCATGCATCCTATCTGACTGCCATGGATTACAGCTGGATATCATCAACAACAGGAAGTATACAAACTCATGGACACCAACTCACCACTGAATGAAAAAATGGGTTAAGACAGCTATTAAGAAAGAAATAATAAAAATGAAAACACAACATACCCAAACCTATGGGACACAATGAAAGCAGTTATAAGAGGCAAGTTCACAGCACTAAGTGCCTACATTAAAAATTGGAGAGACCTCATATTAGTAACTTAGTGGCACAGCTGAAAGCTCTAGAACAACAAGAAGAATTAACACCCCAAAGGAACAGACAGCAAGAAATAATCAACCTCAGGACTGAAATCAAAACAAGAGAAACAATACAAAAATCCTGAAATGAAGAGTTGGTTCTTAGAGAAAATAGAAGATTGAAAAATCATTAGCCAAATTAGCTAGAAGATGGAGAAAGAAGATCCAAATATATAGAATATATTGTTATGGAGAGACAAAGGGAAACAAAAATAGGAAGATTAAATAGGGATATGGATTAAAGAGAAGGGTAAAAGGAGGGAATACATGGGAGGAATAATTAACATCAAAGTTCATTTAAAAATCATATGGAAACCTACTACTGTGCCTAAACTATATTCATATATAAAAGGAATCTAAATGGAGTCAACAAATAATAAGGAGGACAATGTTCCAACTAGACATCTTATGCCACCATGTAAAACCTTCAGTGCCAAGAATGGGTTACATCTTGTTGAGTTGTTGGCTAAAGGGCCCCATGAAAAGCCACAAGCATCACAGGCTATCACCAAGGGCATTGGATACTCTCCACAAAGTGCTGGTAAGGCCTTTTGATGAAGACAACATTTAATATATCTCATTAAACACAGAGAAGACAAGCTGGTACCTAACTAGAAGCTTCATACCTACCGATTAGTGTTCATGGTACTAGAAGGTACTCTGTGTGCATGCTACCAGAGGAGATAGTTAATTATCAACCCTGCTACAAATCCTGTGATTTACAACAGTGACCTGTCTGCAAGACATAGTGGCACTACACTGCCACAAACATTATGGAAGTAATTAACCACTTTTTGAATGGATTTATGGCCCACTCCATGAGATGGAAGTCACACCTGACACTGATAAAGTGGTGAAGAACTTGAAACTATATATGCTATGGCCTAGGGGAAAATCAAATACTATTATTCTGCTAAAGGAACATAGCAATAAAATGACTTTCAGTGACATTCTTCTATACACACATGTTAGTGCCTCACTACTATAGACACTTCCTGTAGTAGATATGGGAACACACCCACACACAGAGCCTGTTCAGGCAGGGTAGGTCTCATGCCCAGGAAGAGTCAGCAAACACAAAACAAACTCAACAGTATTTTTGTAGATTTTTTTTGTCTTATTTTGTTTTGTTTGGGCATTTTTTCTTATTGTTCCTTTGTATATTTTGGTTTCTGTTTTTGTGGGGGAGTATTGTGTGTTTGTTGTTTGTTTTTAGGGGGGAACATAAAGTTGGAAGAATAGATTGTTATGGAATATCTGGGAAGAATTGATCAAAATGTATTTTTTGAGGGGAAACTTGATCAAAATATATTTTGATTTTTTTCAATAAAAGAGAAAAACAGTAAGGCTCTTGCTTTGTAGCTGAGGCTTACCCCAAATTAATGATATTCCTGTCTCAGAATCCCAAGTGCTAGGGTTCAGAAGTGAACCACCTGGTGGCCTTCAGATTTACCGCAGTCCTTCCTCCTCTCTTTTTACCCCTCCCTTCATGTGCTGGAGATTGAACCCAGAGCCTTGTGCCTGCTTGGCCTGACAAGGTGCAGGTTTGACAATTGGAGAAGAAATAGGAACCTAAGGTTTGACATGATCTCCCACCCAATGACTTGCCTTTGGCTGGCTTCTCTGCCTTCCTCTGTGGCCTGTCTATATTACCTGCCTAGTCACAAAGACAAAGTGATCTTGTTAACCTCAAGTCAGACCAGTCATTTTCTAGCAAAACCTTAACAGTTACTCAGAGTAAAAACTAAATCCTTCACTAAATTAAAAAGGTTTTAATTTGCCGGGTGGTGGTGGCTCATGCCTTTAATCTCAGCACTTGGGAGACAGAGGCAGGCAGATCTCTGTGAGTTTGAGGCCAGCCTGTTCTTCAGAGTGAGTTCCAGCACAGGCTCCAAAGCCACACAGAGAAACTCTGTCTTGAAAGACTAAAAAACAAATTAATTATGTGTAGTTATTATGCGTTTGTGTATGTGGGTATAGGTACCCTCAGAGAGCAGAGGCATCGAATCTCCTGGAGTTGGAGTTTCAAGTTGTTCTGAGTGCCTGAGGTTGGTGATGGGAACTGAACTTGAGTTTTCCACAAAAGCAGTATATACTTTTAATCATTGAGCTACCTATCTAGCCTCAAACCCTATTAACTTTGGTTTTGTGTCTATCAGATAATACTTAGAAACAGAAACATCCTTTATGACAAAGATTCAAATTCTCTCTCTCTCTCCCTCTCTCTCTCTCTCTCCCTCCTTCTCTCTCTCTCTCTCTCTCTCTCTCTCTCTCTCTCTCTCTCTCTCTCTCTCTTCACTTTTGTGTTTTGTTTTTGAGACAGGGTTTCTCTGTGTAGCCATTTGTCTTGGAACTCACTCTATAGATCAGGTTGGCCTTGAACTCCCAGTAATATCCCTGCCTCTGCCTCCAGAGTGGTAGGATTAAGGGCGTTCATCACCACCAACCTGTTCAAATTCATTTATATTATGTAGGGCAAAATTGTCATATTCTTTGAAAAAAATTGACACAAAGTCTCTCTATACCTCCTTGTCTAGCTTGGAACTTGATATCTATACCAGATTGACGTGAAACTCACAAAGATCTTCCATCCTCTTCCTCCTAAGTGCTTAGATTAAAGGTGTTACATCATCACTCCTGGCCTCTTTTATAAAAAATTTTTTAAAAAATGCATTCCAAATGTATTTTTAATTGACACAAAAATCCTATTTTCTCTTACTTCTTCTGATCACTGTTTAAGACAAAGTGTGACTGTAATGCATAATAAACACTACTTCTGAGGACATAGTAGTGAAGTTGTAGGTATGTTTTATTATATTATGAACAACTGATCTTGCAACCTAAGTATCTGTAAATTTTGGTTAACTGCCAGTTGAAAAAGAATTTGAGAGTAAGGATAATACTGTAGTGGTAGAGTACTTGCCTAGTATATTCAAGGCTTTAGGGTCAATATTCAGACACACACACACACACACACACACACACACACACACACACACTTTAAAACATAAAAGAACATGATGTCTTCTCAAAAGGTGACTTTATTTTTTATAACCATCAGAGATAGATTATATTTTTATACTTACCTGCTGTTGTAATTTCAATGTGGTAGAAAACATTTCCAGTATATGAGATTTTAAGAGAACCAGTTACAGAAGAACTCTTCACAGATTCTTCTACTCCAAATGGTTCTATTATTTCTGTGAGAACTGAGGTATGAAATCCCAAAGGACCATTGGCATGTACTAGCAATTTTCTGATATAAGCATTTCCATTTTTACTAAAAGCAAACCAACAAACATATAAAATGGATATGCCAGTGGCTTAAATAAGTAGGCATATTAACATATAGTTTACAAATAAAATATACCAATACTAGGATTGATGATAGTAATATACCAGCTAACAAATGACTATTTAGCAAACAGTTGTTCAAAGTTTTTAGATGCCAACAAAATGGCCTATACAACATACATTTTTACACTTAAAATGGACAAAGATTATCTATCTATCTATCTATCTATCTATCTATCTATCTATCTATCATCTATCTATCTACCATCTATGTACCTACACTCTATGTGCCATCTATCAATCATCTACCTATTTATCATCTATCAACTATCTACATATCTATCTATGTATCTATCTATATCTATCTATTTATCTATTATCTATCTATCCATCATCTGTGTATCTATTTATCATCTCTTTTGTGTTGGAGATAAAACCTAGCATCATGACTGTTAGGCCAATGCTATACCTCTGATCCACATCCCCAACCTATAAATATCTTTAGCTGTCAGAATTCCACAGAGATAATATTTTAATGGAAATAGCTGCACATTCACTACTGCTGTGATTGTAAATTAAGACAAGTTTCCTAGAAAGCAATTTGACACTTTACATTCGAATGAAAAAAATAAAAAATGAAGAAACATGACTCCTCCTAGGTATGGTGAAGGAGATTTAGTGTAGCTAAGGAGAGAATAATCAGAGGCATCTGGAAGAGTCCAGACGAAAAGAGAGAGTGGAGAGTGAGAAGAGAAGAAAGAGGGAGCAAACAGAATAAGGTAGAGAGGTCTTATAATTCCAACACTGTGGAGATGGGTTCAGACACACACACACACACACACACACACACACACACACACACACACAAACACAAGAGAGAGAGAGAGAGAGAGAGAGAGAGAGAGAGAGAGAGAGAGAGAGAGAGAGAGAAGGGGTAGATGGCAAGCAAGCACAGAAAGAGCAACACATCATAAATCATCAGGGGTTGGAAATTTAAAATAACAAAGCCTTAAAACACTAACAATGTCAAATGTTGGTAAGAATGTATGAAAGAAATTCTAATTCATTGCTGGTGGGAATGTAGAAAGGTATGGTGAGTTAGGCATTTTCCTTTAATTTCAAACATATTCTTACCACATGCCATATTCTTAGGTATTTACCTAAGTGAATTGAAAAGATATGTCTATATCAAAGACTGCATGTGGATACTGCTAGCATTTTGTTCATCAGGAGCAGCCGGAATGTCTTTCAGTTGGTGAATAGGTTGGGGCTGGGGAGATGCTCAGCATTTAAGAACACCAACTGCTCTTCCAGAGGACCTGGTTTGATTCCCAACACCCACATGGCAGTTCATAAACATCTATAACTTCAGTTCCTGGAGATTCAATGTCCTCTTCTGGCCTCCATGGGCACTGCATGCACATAGTGCACAGATAGATGCATATATAGGTAAAAAACCCACACATAAAACAATAAAAATAAATTAAAACATTGGGTGAATCCTATATAATGTTTTCAAACACACAATGGAATACTAGTCATCACTAAATAATTATCAAGTCATTAGAAAGTAATAGGTATCTTTTAATTTTTTGAAATTAAAAAATAATGAAAACCTTTCCCACTTTCTTTTCCTCCCTCCAACTCCTCTCACATTAGCTCCTCTCTCATCTTTCTCCCTTTCAAATTCATTACCTCTTTTCCTCTATTTGTTGTATATTTATAATCTGCTTAGTCCATTTAGTATGTACATGATGTCAAGGCTGACAATTTGGTATTGGATGACCAATTGAGGGGCTCATGCCTTAGGAAGGTGATTTTCCCACCTCTCTAGTTGCCGCTAGTTCTTTATTTACTAGTGGGGCCCTATGATATTTCCCCTTCTGTGTTAGCATGTTTAGTGATGTAATAACTGTTCAGGTCTTGTTTAAGCAGGGTAATAGGAATCTTACAGGCATATTTCAAGAGGAAGAAGCAAATCTCAAAGGGGTGTGTAATCCAATTGTGTGTCATTCTAGAAATGGCAAAACTAAGGAGACAACAACAACAACAACAACAAAGAAGTTCCCAGGAGCTGGGGAGGCAAGGGTTAATAGATGAGACACAGAGGAATTTTAGTACACCAAGACTGTTATGTATGTGCTATAATGCCGCCAGACATTTGTTCCAACACTGAGAATGGGTATCAAGAGTGAAGCCTGGGGGGGGATTGTGGTACATGCCTGTTACACTGGCACTCAGAAGGATGAGGCAGGAGGATTGAGGGTTTGAGGTCAGCTTTGGGCTACAGAGCAATTTCACTCAGGAGGATGAGGCAGGAGGATTGAGGGTTTGAGGTCAGCTTTGGGCTACAGAGCAATTTCACTCAGGAGGATGAGGCAGGAGGATTGAGGGTTTGAGGTCAGCTTTGGGCTACAGAGCAATTTCCTCTCTCAAAAAAAAAAAGTGAACCCTGCCACAAATGTTGAACTCTTGGTGAAGTTAGGTCTGTATAAGTTATCAGTTGGAGCAACTGTACAACTTTGGGGCTGCGTGTGGACAGTGTGGAAAACAAAAGAGTAGTGGTGGAGTCCATGAGAACTTTCTGTTCTTTCTTCTCAATTGTGTTGTAAAGCTCTGATAAATTAATAAAAACCACAGTTCATGAATTTTTAAGAAGTTAAGCTCTTTGTGTCTGAAGTCAATGGCCAGGGCCAGCAGCCAACTCTATTACCAAAGCTGTCCTCCAACCCCTCTCATTTGGAGTCTCTAAGTGTCAAGAATTGCTTTAGGTGAGCACATTCTGTGTAGTTCAAGGGGAGGAGAAAAATAATCCTTTAAAGAAGAAAGAAAGGGGACTTGGGCAGTAAAGGATGGGCTTACATTTAGGGGTCAGTGTGTTCTGGAGGTAGAGTGGAATAACTATTGAGTGGGCAAACACTGGATAAAGTTGACTGTCAGCAGTGTGAATGGGTGCATTGGAGGCTCCCATCCAATAACTGCTCTATCTCTCTAGCTCCTTCTATCTTCTGCACCTCACATCAATGAAATTGCTTTCAGCCAGGTTACTCTACTCCAGAGTGCCTCCGATTCCAAAGTGACTTCTTGGTCTTTATTTTAGCTACTCCAAGCACTGGAAAGCTATTTGAAGCATTTCTTGTTCTGGGTTTAGAGGCCTCCTTTTTCTAGGCTTTTCTACCCTTGACTGCTCATCTTCAGCCTTCACTCCAGGTGCCAATCTCTGTTCCTGGAATGCCTCTTCTGTATTTACACAATCTCCTGCAGTACAACTACCCATACGTATGTGAACAACTGCCACATGCTGGGTATCTGATCTTTCCTGCACAACAAATTCATACATCCAATTGTCCATGTTGTCTTCGTCTCATCTTTTAAATACCCAACAGGCATTTGGAACTGCATATGTCTAATGTGAAATTTACAGTTATCCTGCTGAATATCCATGCTCTTCACCTCAGAAAATGACAACATTCACTTGAGCTGCAGACCAAACGCCTATATGACTATTTTTGAAAATGGACTTATTAGGATGCTTAGTGTGTGTGAGGTGTGTGTGACTATGCCACCTGTGTGTGAATCTCAGAGGATAACTTTTTGAAATGGGTTCTCTCCATCCCTTGTGGGATACAGAGATCAAGTGCAAGTCATTAGGCTTATACAGCAAGTGTTTTACTGGCTGCGCCATCTTGTCTGCCACCTACATGGCTCTTGACGCCTCTTCTCATAACTACCATAGTCCATCAGGGCCTCCCTTCTCACAGACGCACCTGTTTCAGCACCATTAATTCTCTTTTCATAGGTCCTAAGGTGTCAGACACCTTTTACTCTTATCTTGTTTCATCCTTTCCATTACAGTCAGAGTGAATTTTCAAAAAATGCGAATGTTTCATTCTCCAACATAACATTGTACAGTGGTTTCTGATGACATCCGCATGTAGCCTATACTATCTGTCTTAGTTTTGGTTTTTATTGCTGTGATAAAACACCATGACCGAATAGCAAGTTGGAGAGAAAAGGGTTTGTTTGGCTTACACTTCCATATTGCTATTCATCATTGAAGGAAGTCAGGATAGGATCTCAAATAGGGAAAGATCCTGGAGATGGGATCTGATGCAGAGGTCATGGAGGGGTGCTGCTTACTTCTTGTTCCCCTGGCTTGCTCAGCCTGCCTTCTTATAGAACTGAGGACCACTATCTTAGGGATGGCACTGCCCCATCAATCACTAATTGAGAAAATGGCTTACAGTATTAGACCTATATATGAAATATTCCTAAAAGGGCAAAAGGAAAAAATGCTACTCCCCTCAAATATATTCACAATAATTGACTGTATAATAGTTTTATTCCTGAGACATAGAGTAAATTTCAATTTCCACAAGCAACCTTTCAAAGCACAGAAAATTACTATCCTGATTTTTCTAGAAGATAATATTTATGAGGTTTTATAATCTTGTTAACAGACCATAAAATATTTCAAGGACAAAAATATTTGTCTAAAATTGTAACTTCATTTTTGAACAGAGATCTAAAATTCTATGTTAGCAAACTAGTCCATAAGTGTATGATGGATAACACAAAATGACTGAGATAATATCGTTAAATCCAGACTATATCTCATAATATTCATCAAAACTAAATGTAAAAATTGAGTGGATTAGCTCAATATATGCTTAAAAAAATTAAAAACCCAAGTATTCAAATCTTTGGCAATTGTGAGCTGCCTCCTGATTGGCGTGGAACTAGTAACTAGACTCGGGCCTTTTGCAACAGCAGTGGGAGCTCTTAATTACTGAGCCATCTCTCCAGCCTCATCTCCCTCTTTGAAGGGGGCAGGGTCTCTCCATGAAAGTAGAGATTATGAATGGACTAGACTGATTGGCCAGTGAGCCTCTGGGTTTCTCCTGCCTCTGCCTTCCTGAGCTGGAATCTCAGGTACACCATTACATGCCTGGATTTTCACATGACTGCTGGAGACCTGGCCTCAGACCCTCATACTTGTTCAGCAAGTTTCTTACTCACTGATCCATCTCTCCAGCTACCAAATCACAAATCTCTTAACAAGAAAAAGCTTTTTAAAGGGTGAAAAACTGTAGAAAGATCACGTCATGGTGAAATGTTAAAACTATTCTTTTAAAAATCAGGAGCAACAAGGAAGCCAGATAGTTTCTTCTTAAGGTGCTTATTATTAGACCTGTAGACTATAATAGGAAAAATCTATAATATGCTAAGAATGTTAAGAAAGAAACAGAAATTATTTGCAAGTGATGTGATTATTTACTTAGAAGTATATCTATGCCTAATAGGAAAATCTAAAAGAATATGTAGAAAGGCACCAGAATTATTAAAAGAATTTAGCGAATACAAGATTATCATACAAAGGGATATGAAATTTTTGCTTTTATTTCAATTACAGGAAAAGAAAATATTAACTTGTCTCTTCCCTTATAGCCATTAGATAGACATACTTTGAAAATTATTTGTGCCCACCAAGACTCATGCTGAGACTTTATCCTCCACATAGCAGTGCTGTAGAGTGGAGTCCAGTGGAGATGGGATGGCTTTTCTTGTTGTAAACTTGACTACATCTGTAAGCAACTCAAACCCAAGTAGCTGTGTATACCAGTGGGGGATTTTTTCTTAACTAAATAATTTGAAGTGAGAAGACTCACTTTTAATCTGCATCTTTTGAGGTGGGAAGATACACTTTTAATCAGGGGTAAGACTTCTGGTTGCAGCCTTTAAAAACAACATGGAAGAAAAATATTTTAGCTTTTTGCCTGCTTGCTCTTGTTCTCATTGGCAAGTCCATTCCTTCCTGGCGTTAGAGCATACTTATTTGAAATTCTGGAATATACTGAAGACCAGCTGAGACATACAGCCTCGTGGGCTGAAACAACTATTGGATTATTGAAACTTCTATTAGTATATTGTGGGACTATCTGGACCACAGCCTATAAGACATTCTAATACCACCCTCACAGCCATTCTATAAGTCCTGTTTCTCTAGAGAACACTGACTAATACAGAAGGTATTTGCATCATGGGAGTAGAGCCCTATCTAAGGAATGGAATAGTTAGGAAGAGACATCAGGTTTCATTTTCTTAAACATCCAGTTGTCCTTCAATCTACCTTCCACCATCAAGTAAGGCCACTGTCCTGACCACAGTTAGACATCTTAACCTGGATATTCTAGTGGCTGAAATAAAAAACCCAGGTAAACCACCTTTCTCTATAAATCACCCAGTTTCAAGTGTTTTTCGTAGCAATAGAAAATGAACTAAGCCAGAACTAACCTGAAATACAGTGGGATTAGCAACTGGAAGGAAAGACCAAACACCATGGAAGAAGAGTATGGGGAAAGGAAACAGTACTGACCATGGCACAAGAAAGTAAGCATCAGCCTAAACTGTTACAAATGCCAAAGGCTGAGCCTAGACCCCATCCTTGGGCACCAGCCACTCTGGGGAAGGCCTGCCCAACTTGGCCCCAGGTTCTGGCCACTGGACAGGTTCCCTTCTAGCCCTACCGGGAAGGATCCCCTTCTCCAAGACCCCCAGTAGACACTGCAATCTCCAGGTGCTGACCCCAGGCCCATCTGTCCGAGCCACTTCCTGAGACTTAGAGACCGGCCCCCAGCTCCCATCCTGCCCAGGACTTCCCGTCTGGACAAGAGCTCCCATTCTGCCCCAGACTTCCCATTAGGACAAGAGAGCTCCCATCTGGACAAGAGAGAGAGACTTCCTGAATCTGTCTGCTCTGTCTGAACCAAGTGTGCTGATAAGATCAAGAACGAACCACAATGAGATGGGCAGACGTCAAGGCAGAAGTACATACAACAAAATGAAGAGCAATACAGCATCACCAGAACCTAGCCCTCCAAAAAACAGCTAGACCTGAACATCAAAAATTGGAAGAAGCAGAAGAAAACAGCCTTATGAATAACATCATGAAGAAGGTAGAGGCTTGTATAGAGGAAAAGACAAAAAAA